GCAAAGGAGGATGGAGTATAATAATTGAATGAGGTAATAATTGTAAAACACTTTGCAAATCTTAAAGTACTACATAAATGCTAACTATTATTGTTATTATCATCATCATTATCTAGAGCTTTAGAGGGCACATTCATAGGACTGTGTATTATCTATATATAGTGTTTCCAATATAGAGTGTGGGGCACTGAATTGCTGCTAAGAAGCAGGGTAAACCAGGGCATCTGCTTCTCTATTTGAAGTAAATGTTTCATAAGGATGCTGACAGTGTGAAGCCACCATCCCAAAGGTTATCTTGTCTGCTCAGTGTTTGTTTGTTTGTTTGCTTTCAAGGGAATTGGGGTTAAGTGACTTGCCCAGGGTCACATAGATAATAAATAACAAGTATTTGGTCTGAGGCTGCATTTGAACTCAGGTCCTCCTGACTTCAGGGCCAGTACTGTATCCACTGTGCCACCTAGCTCCCTCTTGCTCAGTATTTTTTCAATGGCTCCCTTTATTGCAGGTATTCTTAACCTTTCTTTGTGTCAATTTGGTGAAGCCTATGGACCCTTTCCAGAACAATTTTTTTTTCCTGCTTTTTGGTGAGGGTTAAGTGACTTGCCAAGGGTCACACAGCTAGTAAGTATCGAGTGTCTGAGGCTGGATTTGAATTCAGGTCCTCCTGACTCCAGGGCCAGTGCTCTATCCATTGCACTACCTAGCTGCCCCTAGAACAATATTTTTAAAAGAATAAAATAAAATACATAGGATTACAGAGGAAACCAATTATATTGAAATACAGTTAATAAAAGATGTGTGTACATATGAGTGTGGGGGTGGGGAGCTGTTGTAGCATTTGCCCATTTCTGAGGTATAATGAAATTGAAATTTGTTTTATGTGTCATCTCATCGGATCCTCACAAGAATCCTGCAAGGAATATTTTAGTATCACTCTTTTACAAATTCAGAAACTGAGGCTTAGAGAGTTCAAGTGTCTTGCCCAGCATCACATAGCTAGTAAGCATCTGAGGCAAAATTTCATCTTGGGTGTTCCTGACTCACAAGTCCAGACACCAAGCCACCTAGGGGCCTTTTAAAAAAAAAATTTCATTAAACATTCCTAATTACATGCAAAATTTTTTTAACATTCTTTTTTAAAATTTTGAGTTCCAAATTCTCTCCCTCCTACTCACCCCTCCCCACTCCTTGAGAAAGCAAGCAAGTTGATATTGATTACACATGTGAAGTCATGCAAAACATATTTCCATATTAGCCAATTACAAAAGGAAACACACCAAAAAAAAGCAAGAACAAGGGAAAAAGTTTAAATAGCATGCTTCAATCTGCACTCAGAGTTCATAGTTCTCTCTCTGGAGGTAGATAGCATTCATCATCATGGGTCCTATGGAATTGTTTTGGATCATTGTCTCAATCAGAGTAGCTAAGTCTTTTACAGTTGATCATCCTTATAATATTACTGCTTACTGTTACTGCATACAATGATTCTGCTTGCTTCACTTTGCAAGAATTCATGAGTCTTCCCAGATTTTTCTGAAACCATCTTGTTCTTCATTTCTTATAGCACAATAGTATTCCATTACATTCATATACCACAATTTGTACAGTAATTCCCCAATTGATGGGCATCCCTTCCATTTCCAATTCTTTGCTACCACAAAAAGAGCTGCTGTAAACATTTTTGTGTATGTAGATCCTTTCCCCTTTTCTTTGATCTCTTTGGAATGCAGTAGTGGGTCAAAGGGTATGCACAGTTTGATAGCCCTTTCTGTGTAGTTCCAAATTGTTCTCTAGAATAGCTGGACTAGTTCACAACTCCACCAACATTGTATTAGGGGACCCCAGGTTAAGAAATCTGCTTTACTATGTTCTAGGGGCCTTTTTTTTTGGACAGTGGGGCCATACCCACCTTCCTAGTCTCACCACCTCCTGCTCACATTGTTGCCTTTTTTTTTAACCTTTGATGACATTCTGTCCTGTGCATTTGGCAATGAGACTTACCTGTTTATCAAATACAGCTGTTCCAGGCTCTGTCTCTGTTCTAGTTTCTCCTGCTGTGGCTGCAACATATCTTGATAACCCCTGAGGGGTTCCTACAATAAGAACCCATAGCCAGTTGTCCTTCATGTTTAATTAAGACTGAGTATCATCACACTTCCTTGCCAAATGCAGAGAATAGGCTTAATTAAGTAAAATGTTTTCTATTTCCAACTGCCAGTCACTAAAAGTAAATAATCCTGCATAATGCAAGAGAACCTACAACCTTGGCAACCCCTACAACTTTTGTGAAAACACCATTCTGGGTGCAACTTAAGAACAAAAGTGCTGATTAAAAATTGGGATAAAACCAACTGATTTTATCGAGATTTCAAGAAACTCACTTCTACCTTCTCTACCCCCCCAATCTACCCTCAGACATTTAGAAGAAGAATGTCCACTGGAGTTAGGATTCTTGTGTTCTAATTATCCTGCTTGCCAAATCACTCTGGAGAAATCATTTAGTGCCTAGAAATATGTTTCCCCAACACTAAGAATAGGGATAACAATAAATCCTGTTTAACTCCCTATGGGTGCTGTGAGGGTTAGATATTTGGAAAATACCCAGAGTTCCTTAGACAAATGATAAAATATGGTTCACTCTGACTTAAATACAAGGTCTGCTTCTCAATGGAAGAAAATGATTCTCCACATGAGGTTGATTATTTCTTCTTGGGCTCCATGGTACTATTCATTCCTGGCAGAACTGGTCCTACGGAAGAAAAGACTGTTTCTCTCAATAGTTATTCTTGCTTCTTATTTTATTTTTTTTTTTAGGCAATTGGGGTTAAGTGACGTGCCCAGGGTCATACAGCTAGTAAGTGCCAAGTGTTTGGTCTGAGGCCAGATTTGAACTCAGGTCCTCCTGACTTCAGGGCTGGTGCTCTATCCACTGTGCCACCTAGCTGCCCCATTATTCTTGCTTCTTAAGCTAACCTAATCTTATCCAACTCGACCCACCCTGAACTTCAAACATCAGACCCGCTCTTCTGATCCAAATATATGTCCTATGGCTTTGGTGTTGTTTGAAAATATCAACAAAGGGGTTCTCAGAAACAGAAAAGGATGGGGGGAAGCTTGTAATAAATGGAAAACTTAACCGTCCCCATTCAGCCAACTTGAATGTTGGCTTAAAAATCTAGTTATTGAGTAAAGGGGAAGAGATGAAAGGGACACTTGGTTCCCTACTTGTTTTGTTTATTTTTTGACCTAAACCTGAATGTTCCAGGATTGGGCAGGACAAAGGGGCAAGGATCAATCACATTCTTTATCTGTAGAGCGATAACAAGGAAAGAGGCATTGCCTGTGGAGTTAGGGGCTTGAGCTTCAAATCCCCACCCTCTGATGCTTATTTCCCATGTGACCATTTAGTTTATCCATCTTTTTTTTTTTTAAAGGCAATTGGGGTTAAGTGACTTACTCAGGGTCAGTTAGTAAGTGTCTGAGGTCAAATTTGAACTCAGGTCCTTCTGACTCCAGGGCTGGTGCTCTATCCACTGCGCCACCTAGCTGCCCTAGTTTTTTTTCATCTTTAAGAGATCGAGGGGGTTATGCTCAATGGCCTCTGAGGCCCCTTCCTGCTCAAGATCTAGAGTCCCTATAATTTCTTCTTTTGACTCTTTGTGGTTGTCTCATGGGTCCATCATGTTTGCAGTAGAGTAAACTGTTACAAGCTCTTTCAGACTGTTTGGACAGAGTCTCTAAAACGAAGAAAACAAGTGAAGGCTAAGGCTCCACTTGGTAATGTTATTTTCGAAGTGATAGGTGAAGAGACAATGGGAATGCTGCCTGAATCCAGCCCAGTGCTATGCATCCCTATGACTTCCTTCCCCCTCCTTTCTTACCCACTACTAGAATTATAGGGCTAGAAGTAATTCTGGAGGCCAACTCATCTAGGCTCCTACATTCAGGGAGTTATCACCCCTGAACTCTAAACTTCCTATGGGGAATTCTCACAGCAGAGATTCTGAGAGAAGCAATGCAGCTTTTGACTTGTCCAAGGTCACACAGTGGGATTGTGGCTCCCTGTTGCTTGGCCAGGATGAACCAGAGATCTGATCCACTTCAGTCAGGGTGAGGATGTAAAGCGATTAATTGTTTGGCAACAACCTTCACCTCTGCTTCATTTCTGCCATTTCCATCTGCCAAGTTTGGCAGCTTTGTTATCTGCCTAAAGATACAAAGTAAGTGAGGCATCAAGGAAAACTGCTGAACCTTGTGCTGTTCCTGTTTCCTCCAAAGAGTAAGGAATCATAGGTCCTTGGCTAGTAAGTGGAAAATCCAAAACAGCCAGCCCTCATTTGATAGATTTCCCTCTGCACAGAGCACCTTTTTTTCCTAAGCATTTGAGAAAGAGATAAAAAGGGTAAGTACCAAGGTCAACAGGAAGCTAGGGGGTGCAGTGATTAGAGCACTGGGCTTGGAATCAAGGAAGATTCATGCTCCTGAGTTCAAATCTGGCCTCAGACACTTACTAAATGTGTAACCCTGAGCAAGTCACTTAACCCTGTTTGCCTCAGTTCCTCATCTGTAAAATGGGCTGGAGAAAAAATGGCAAATCACTCTGGTGTCTCTGCTAAGAAAACCCCAAAATGGGTCACAATGAGTTGGACACAACTGAAAAGACACAACCACAAAAACCAAGCTCAATGGTGACTTACATGGGTCATAAATTTAGAACCAGAAGGGATCTTAGAGGTCATCTAATCCAATGTCTTCATTTTACAGGCTAGGAAACTGAAGCGTAGAGAGTTGCCCTAGGTCACACTGGTAATAAGCAGCAAAGCTAAGATTTTAACCCAACTCTTCTGATGGCAAATACAGTGTTCTTTGTAGTTAGTATACCATGTTGCTTTAATAGTCAATGGGAGTGCCAGTCAAGCCTCAGAACTTAATATGTGTGAATGTTTCCCAGCCATGGCCATGTCATTTGCTCATCTGGGTGTGTCTTACTTGCCTTACAGGTTCACTCTGAAACCATTGCCACCTATGCCCTTTGTGGCTTTGCCAATTTTGGTTCTCTGGGAGTAGTGATTGGAGGACTCAGTAAGTAATAATGTTCTTTCTTCAAACCCCTGTGTGATTTTGATGCAATTTAAACTGAAATGCTTGGTTACTTCATCTGTCCCATTCTCTCTAATACCAGGAAAAAGATCTCACCAGCGCTAGGAAGGTAGGAGAGGAACAATACAGCAATAAATGCATATGCCACAAAAAGACACCCCCCTCAATATATATCAGGGTGGGGAACCTGTGGCCTCAAGGCCACATGTGGCCCTTTAGGTCCTCAGGTGCAGCCCTTTGACTGAATCCAAATTGGATATATCATATGTGTATGAAAGCCTCAGCCCTTTTTAGTGGGTCAGACTCAGAGCCATAGCTAGTAATTCTGGATCCTAGGGCAAGCACAACAAAATATGCCTAGTGTCAAGCAGCTTACAAAGTACTCTTGAAGAAACCTTTTAAGACAAATTCAGCCAGATTGCCAAGTTAAGACCAAGACCCTACAAGTGTGGGGCAGGGTCAAGACTAGAAGCTCATACTACCATTCATGGAAGGAACCACACCATCTGGTAGTTTTCTATTTTAAGTAAATTACTCTTGCTAACTAGGTGCTACTCTTGTTTCCACCTGCTGAAGAATCACTAAAGCTGTCAGTGGTCTCTAAATTTCAGCACTTTAAAGAAAACGCCAGCCCCCTCCTAGTCACAACTCTAGTCAAACTCCTGTCTCCCCCCTTGAGGAGCTCCCCACCAAAAACTGACTGGGCACTTCTATTCAGAAGATGCATGCATTGAACAGTCCAACCCCAGAGCTCCTTCTGGAGATAATACATTTTGGGGGAGGCCTTATCTGAACCCACTAACAACTCCATGCTTGTTCCATATTCCCTAGCATCTATGGCTCCTTCCAGGAAGCGGGACATTGCCGGAGGGGCTTTCAGAGCTCTGATTGCTGGTACTGTAGCCAGCTTCATGACAGCCTGTGTCGCTGGTAAGTGCTCTGCCCTGCCTATCTGCTAATGACCATAAGATGGCAGTGTTTCAGCTTTGGCTTCTCACCTAAGCCCAAAGGATGGATTTATTTTAAAAAAAAAAAAAAAAAAGGTTGAGAAATGGTCCCTCTATTGTACTTAGAGTGGGTAGAAATGGAAAAGCTGAATGGGGGGGGGGAGGATAGGGAAGGGGAGAGGAGGAACACAAAGATTTTTGTTCTTGAATTAATTAAACGAATGTCATTCTAATGTCTAATTTCTAGGCATACTCTCCAGCCCTCCCATGGAGATAGATTGCTATAGTCTTTTAGAAAATGCCTTCAACTCAACTTCACCTAGCAACACAACTGAGCTAGTTACCTGTTGCCAAAACCTATTTACCAGGTATTGTACCCTTGATTACAACTACTTTATATTCCATTATTAAGAGGCTTATGATAGAGTTTGACCTAGAGATACTTTCTTATTATGGCAGTTTTGAAAGGAAGCTTAAGGAGGCAATACACAAAGAAAGGAAAAGTTTTGCAAATGTGGCCTAATGAAAATGTCAGGTCCTAGCATTTGTATAGTCTTTTCAACCTCAACCTTTCATTTTGGCTTCCTTTCGATAATGAACAGGCCTCCCCATCCCCCATCCCTCCCATCCTGTGGTCCTTTCTGAGGTCAAGATGTTCACTTGGTACTGAGATCAAGATCTGATGTTCATTTCAACGTATAATATATTGGTTAAAATCACTGAACTGATAATATCCTGTCCCAGCTGTAAAATGTCCCTTTCCTTTTTCCAGACCAACCTGATGGTGAGGCAATATGCTGTAGTGGATAGGGTACTGGACTTAGAATCAGGGAGACCAGAGTCAAAATCCCACCTCAGGCTCAGTTACCTGGGCTAGTTACTTAACTTTTCTGTGCCTTAGTTCCTTCCCCTCATCTGTAAAAGGAAAAGGTTAGTTAGACTTAATGGCCTTTAATGTCCCTTGCATATTTAAATCTATACTCCTTAGATCCTTCAAAGGTGCTATAGAGACAAGTCCTCCCCTGGGGAAAGGCTTGATCCCAAAAGGCCTGACATCCTTTAGGACACATAGTTATCCCTTCCACAGCCTGACTTTCCTCATCATGGTTTCAATATCACAGTAAGTATAAGAAATTAAATGAGAATTTTGAGGGAGTTTTGCTGAAGCCACAGACGACACAGAAAAAAGTTTAGAAACTCAGAAATAAATATATGTATAGTATTGTATAATCTCAACATATTTTATATTTTAACACCATGATAATCCAGACTTTTCTGGTACAAAGAGAGGGCCAAAAATTTTTATATGGATTTTCCAGGTTGCAAGGGTACCACACCCTTAACCCTCCCTGATGTGGAAGGATGACTGTATATATAAAGTCATTTGTCCATGGTTGCACTGGCTGGAATGAAGAGTTATGTTACTATGACTTCCCATCCTCGGGCAATTCTAATAGATCTAACCATGGTCCTAATTCCAGAAGAAAAATACTGTCTTTGTGCCTTATTGACATATTAGAAAATCCACTTAATTATTTTTTTTCTCTTTGGCTTGGGGTTTCCTCTATCCACCAGCACTGACACCAGCAACACCAGTGATATTTTACCAGGAAGCTTATCTACCTTGAATGGCTGCTGTCTGGTGCTGAATCCAACTACATTTAACTGTGATTGGGTCACTACTTCATTCTGAGCTTAGTCCCTTCCCAAGATGGTCCCCAGAACAAGCTTCAATCAATTTGAAGGGAACAATGTGAAAATGAATTTATGTGATCACACTTCTTTATTGGGGGAAGGAGGAGTTGTGGGAGAATATCAGATACTATTTATAGATTAATTTTTCTACATGGAATCAGCATGGACTGGAAGAGAAAGAGAACAATAAGTATGACCCATCAAAAACTATTCGCCTCCTCTGTCCCCTATCTCTCCCCAACAAGGACACTAGGCTGTTCAGATATCCTGATGGAATCATCTCTTTATTCTCTTCATTGTCATTTGGGTTTGGTGTTCCAGAACACTTCACCTGAACACAGGTATTAATAAACTAATAAATTCACCAATAAAAAAAAGCTCTGCTCACCAGTCGCTCGTTTGACATCCTGAACTGGAGGTCCAAAGAGACCCCCTAGAATCATCATCAGTTATAGACCATCCTGATTTCACTGGGTCTGATTTGAAACAAGACATTTACATCAGACCTTAGAAAGTCTCAATGCAACTGTCCATGTAAAAGCAGACAACTGACTATTTCAGAGAGAAGCAGTGTCACCCCCACCCAAGGAGATAAGACAAGATGCCTAAAAGTAAGAGGAAAATGTCCATTCCACTCTCAGATTCTTAAGAGGCACAATTTGAAAAACAAAACCAAGAGAAAGATCTGCTACCATGGTTACCATGGTGAAATCCACATTCACTATTCCTTATCTATGGTTTTGAGAGAAAAGCTGTCTCCAGCTATGATACCCTAGGGAAGTGGCTAGGCCTCTGTGTTTCAGTTTTGCCAATGGCAAAAGGGGAAGACCACCAGTTCGAATCTACTTCACAGAATTGCAGGAGGGGGCACCCTGATGACTAATGGGTAGAATTCCTGAGTTCTTAGACACAAGGATATAATTACTTTGTAGGCCCAGCATTTAGGATATTTATTAAAGTGTCATTCGTGTTACTCAGTAATAGAAATTCAAAGGGAAAACCCAGGATCATCAGTTTGGGATCATCTCAGCCCCAGCAGGTTACAGTGAAACAATAACAATCAATCAGAGTGTCCTGTGTATTATTTTCACTCTTGTAAGTTATCTTCTGTACCTTGAGGCCAGATAAGCTTGACTCCCAAGAATTTTGGGAGACTTTATAGGGTTGGGAGATTTAAGAATACAGTTTCTTTCCCTTTAACCTTTCAAATGTTTGTGAAATTCAACAACTGTACATTTGTGCACAATGAAAATAAATATAAAATATTTAAATAGTTTTTACTAGTATTTCTATAATGCACTTTAAGGTAAGTCCCTGTTTTCAACTGTGTTCCTGAGATATTTAAAAGGGGGGGGCAGTGGGGAGATGGGTCGGATGGGAGAACCAAACACACCAACAAACAGTACATAACCAACAAGTACAACCAAAAGTCCTTTCTATATTGTACAAGAAAGCTGATCTTATGATTTACAATTGTTATTTGCAACAGCCTTAGACCACTCATCAGCCAAACTATGTCTTTGCTCAGAAAGTTCCACCCCATTCCTAGTCATTTCCAATTGCCAAGGCTATAACTGAGACAAGGTGACTGGGGCATTGTCCTAGGCTATCAAAATTTAGAAGATGCTGAAAGTACTTTAGCTCGTAGAAATAACTGAGTTTAAAATCAGATAGTAAGAATAGTTCATTGAAAGTGGAAGCCACCAGATGGTGAAACTCTCTCCTCTCCTTTCCCTCTCCCTTTCCCCCTTCCCCTCCTCTCTTCCCCTTTCCTCTCCTCTCTCTGCCACACCCTCCCACCAAAAAACTATGTAAGCATGCACTTTGGGTGAACTGCTCTCTAGTCCTGCCCTGTTGTCTCTCCTGGTGGCAGCTTCCTCAGCATGGGCATTAAGCATCCTGAGAGAGGTCTCCACCCAAAGGGGCTGATGTTCAGGGACCTCTAACTCCCCATCACGGGGTGGTATCCAAGGTACAAGGGTTTAATGGTAATGTCCTTAGGTCTCTTTCTCAAACTGAACCTGTCTTTAAACATCAACATCTGTTTGTCTTGGGAGTATTGTAGGAGGTTTGCTCTGGGTACAAGACTGCCAGACAACAAGATAATCTCTCCACTGTTATCCCCTGGCCTTGTGTTTCTCTGCTACATCGTTTGTAGCTGCTTTCAGCTTTGAAGGATTCAATGATAGGTAAAAGAGGAAAAAGTCCTAAAAATACCAGAATCCTCAGATAATTTTGCCCTTTTCAACAACATTCAATGCTTACTTAAATGTCTACAATTCTAGTCAAGTTTACTGCAATATGAACTTCTGTCAACTGAATCTGGTTTTTCCACTGACTTAGATTTTAATGATAACAACTGACTTGGGGGAGAGGGAAATCTGTGATTTCTTTGACCCTGGAAACTCCCAGGAAAGAAATATCTTCTGTCATGTGGAATTACACCTGCTTTTAGAATCTTAGTCTTAGAGTTGCCTGAGACACCAATGGGTTAAGTGACTTACCCAGGGTCACATACACAGTATGTATCAGTCAGGGCTTCAACACAAATTGAGGCAGCTCCAAGATGAGCTCTCTATTCATTCTGCCTTTCTCAACTGACATGTATATGGCACTTTAAATTTTGCAAAGAGTTCTCCATTCATGATGGCATTTGAACCTCATAACAACCCTATCATATAGGTCTTACAGGTACAAATGAAAGGGAAAGAGATGAGAGTATAAACATTTATTAAACACCTACTGTGTATGAGGCACTATGCTAAGTGCTTTACAATTATAATCTCATTTGATTACCTTATTCTTCAAATAAAGAAACTGAAGCTCAGTGATATGAAGTGACTTGTCCATGGTGAGGTCTTGCTAACTCTCCATTGATAATGCTATGCTACCCTCCCCCTCACAAGAGATGTTACAATGGGAAAAAATAGATAGTGATTGAAATTCAGTGATATAGGAAATGCCTAGGTAAGAAAACTCTCTACCAATTGGCATCTTCTCTGCAACTTGAGTCATAGAGAGTTGCCCAGAGCACCAAGAGGTAAATGTTGCCCAAGGTCACACTGTCAGAATGTATTAAAGGTAGGACTTGAATCCAGGTCTTTTTGGTTTCCAAGTCAACTTTTATACACACTACACTACACTAGTATAATACAATAAGTGAATTTAATACAAGTAAGGCACAATACCTGCCCTTCATTGGCACTCAGCCCTACTTATCTTCGTGAACTTGGTCAAGATTAGCTGAGTTTTTTCCCTTGGAGACAAGGGACTATAACCCTTAGAATCCAGAGAGACAAAAGACCAAATCTTTGTATTGGCCCTTCACCTGTTTTTTGTTTGTTTTGGCATGGCCTGCTGAGGCCATTCTAGAATGGATTTAAGGCATAGGACTCTAGGACCCCCTGTGCTGTTCAATGTTAACACCCCCAACATACATATGCACTCACACGTGTTACAAGGACTTCATAACAACAGAGATGACTAGATGACTAACATGCAATCATCCATAAACACGTCTACCTAATTACCTTTTATTTCAGTTAAATGTCAATCTTCTTTCTTCTGACAGCAATTGAATGAACACAATTGAATGAATACGGGAGGTCACCATGAGGTGCTTAGGACTCAAACTAGGTCTATGAGGAAGCAGCTAAGGCCATACTTTTCTAATCATAGAACATCTCAAAAATCATAAAATCTTAAAAGAAAGGTTCTGAAGGGCTGATGAGAACAGAATGTACTAGGAGGAACTGACTCATTTCCATACACACTTGAGATGAAAAAAATCTTCATTCATATTTTAGATAGGCAAAAGTACAGGCAAAAAGAAGAAACATTCCTTATAGTTCAACAGAGGTGAATCATGGGGTATTGAGAAAAAACTACTTGTTGCAATATTTAGCCTCATAAGAAAATTTAAAATTCCAAGCAGGAAGGAAAATAGAGAAACAATATAAATCTCCTTGAAGGCAAGGGCTGTTTTTTGTCTTTGCATCCCCAGCATCTAGTACTGTGTCTGTCAGATAGTAAATGCTTGTAGAATTGAATATATATTTTTGAAAATATCACAGGCTTTTAATAAAAACTTTTTTTGTGTGTGCAAAGGATGTCCCAAAAGTCTTTAGTACACTTACATTTTCATAGCTTCAAACTGCTCTAAGACGTTGGAGATAGCCAGTGAAAAGGTAATAGCTGACTTTTGCAAAGTGTTTTATATACATTATCTTGTTTGAGCCTCATGCTTTGTTGTTGTTTGTCCTTCATTCTCCAAGAAGACCAATGAAGGTGATATTTTGATTTGCAAGTGACTTGCAACCCAGGGAGGTAGGTACTATGGGTTTTATAGATGAGGAACCTGAGGTTCAGAGGGGATAGGTGACTTATCCCTGGTCCCACAGCTAAAGTATAGAGATGAAATTGAGCCCTATCTTCTGAACTCCAAATCTAGCACTAATCCACCCACTGAAGTTACTGACTCACCAGCTGAATATAAAATGTACTTTGAGGGAGTCAGTTTACCTAGGGTGAGGACAGATTTGCAGGGATTTTGATAGACAGTCAAGTCGATGAGTATTTTATTAAGTGTTTACTAAACTCAGATAGCCAGGAACTAGGCTAAGAGCTAGAGATACAAAGAAAGGGGAAAGCAGTCTCTGCTCCAATTTAGTTATAAAACAATAGGCATTAGAGAAGTCATCTGATAGAGAAGGAAATTATATGGCCCTATAATTCTTCACTGTGACCATGATCATCTTAAGTATATTGTTCTAACCAAATAAGAACCTCCTTCATCTTACAAATAGTAGATTAGTAAAGAACCAGAAAACCTTAACATTTAGAATCAGCACCTACCCTGGGGACATGTGCACATTAGACACGCTGTAATGATCACAAAGTAACAAAGTTGTGATAACCTTCCATAGTCTTCCAAAGACTACCTTCCCTTTTTTATTCTACCTCCCACAAGAGTTGTATGCTGAAATCATCTAAAACATATTACAAACCAACCTTCCTAAGCAATCCATTTTAACCTTTAAGAATCTTCAGCCCACTAATTCTCGTGCCTAATCTCATTCTCTCTAGCTGTAACTTAAGCTTCTTTTCTCTTAGGCAGGTGTTCAGTGGAGAGGAAATGTCAGGTGTCCCAAAGAACAATCCATTGCTTACCAGCAGAAACCCTAAACCTTTCCTATATCCAGGGCAAGTTGATATCTTCTCAATGTTTTTCTATTCAAGATAAATAGTCAAATATTTTTGTAAAAGGTGATGCAAATCAATATTTCTTAAGTCCACTGCTTGGGGCAAAAAAAGCTATCGGCTTAAAATTAACATTAAGCAACTATTGGTATATATGACTTAGGTTAACGGGTTTCCAAATAAGAGTTTGAATCTAAATCTTTAGTTAACAGGTGATTATGCATAATGTGACAAGCCAGAAAACCGAGTTGGAAATTGAACAGATGTTACCTAGCTCCAAATCCAGCATTTTTCCCTCTTAAGCACTGCACCTACTGCCTAAGGGTGTATTTTAAACCATCATTACTATTGTATTTCAATGAATATCTTCATTCAGTTTACTTTTCTGAAGCTAACCAGAATTAAGACAAATCAGCACAATGCACAATGAAAAAAGCTTTTGGTGATGAGATTATCCCAGTTTACGTGCGGAATTTCTTCCTTGTCACATTTATAATAAACACTTCTGGGAGCTAGGAAAGTTTTTTCTTTATCTACAAAACAACTTCAGCACCTTTGCTATAAACAGCAAATGTTTAATTTCAAAATCTGTGAAGCATTCTAATTTTTATGCACATACATTTTGGATATTCATAATGGAACTAACATTATTTTGGTTAATCCAACTAATCTTGCCCTTACTGCTTCTCTCCCCTTAAGTCTTTATGCTTATTTATTGACCTTAAATGAGACTTCTGTAGTTTTGGTCTTTGGGTTGCAGATGAATTACAGAGCAAGAAAAGCTAAGGAAACACATATTAAGTGATAGCGAGTGGTGTTTTTTAAGATTAATTGGCATTCCAAATAACAAAATTCTTCTTAACCTTGATAAAATTGCTCAGCCTCAAATACAAAACAAGAATCACATTTGCAATTGTCCTCTCAGGGCTGCTGACAAATCAGAACGAAAAAGAACTATAGTTTTCCTAGCATCAATATGAAAAAAAATAATTCTTAAGCAAGGTAATTTACAATCATCCCCTAACTGAATCAGTAGTGTGGGCTTACATTCTTTGTAAGTCAGTTTCACTTGAT